TAAAGTGCCTCAGTCAGTGGGTTACCCTCCTTTCTTATTTTAGTGGCTGTTAATGTCAGATATCATAAAGAATATTACCACATTAGGATTGAGTTGTTTTGTTCTTCTATTTTCCAGTAAGCCCTATGATATATAACCTATCGGACAGCCCTAGATCTGATGCTATGTAGATCAAGGTTATTTCTAATTACCCACGAGACTCCGACAGAGTATATCATGTGGAATTTCTTGTTCTTATAGTTAGGATGAACCGTTGCAACATCGTCTCGCAATAAATAATTGTGCAAAAAAATTATGATCATTCACAATAATATTGGATCTCGAAACCATGACTTATTACATAATCAGTTTATTCACTCTACATAAAGCAGCGGACTCATAGAGACATATGCATATTGGATAGTACATTATATGGAAGGCGTGCATGCATCCCTAACCGATCACACCCTTAGTTGCATCTGGGGCTCTGCACGATTGCTAACCGGAAATGACTGGTCAAACGTGGCTGCATGCTCACTACCAGTAAACCTAAGCTTGTCACCGACACGTTGAACCGTATGGAATGCAAGAAAATGCCACTCAAACTGGATCCTGACGCCGCCCCAATTGAGTAATGGATCCGGGCTGGATAACCCCACTGACTATGCTGTCAAACCGAATCTTGTGTGATCCACCGGCAACTGTAACATTGAAGTCGCACGAGGCGGGGAGGGTCACCTCAACGGCACCCCCATCATGGTTCACGTACGACTTCACGCCCAGAGGCAAGAGAGCCCGCAGGAAGTTGTTTTTCGCCAACAGGTCGTATGCTGTGTCGGAGGTGGCCGCTTGGAGGATGGAAGCCATGAATACGATGAGGAGCAGATGCTGGATGGCCATGGCTAGCTAACTGTTGCTGCTTACAAATTGTATCAAGGAATATGAGGAACTGAGAAGTAAGTGTAGACTGAGGCCCTGGCCACGTATTATATATGCTGCCCAACGAAATCAAAGTCAATCGTGCTTTAATTGCATTTATTTTGTTCCTGATTGTCACTCCATCAACCGCCTCATCAAATATGCTAAAAATATCATCCCATTAAATCATATTTATTTCTGGCCTAGAACATTCTATAGTTAATGGTTATGCCAAAACGTTCCTCAAATCTTCATAATCAATACGTACCATAAAATGAGACTGAAATTTCAGAGCAACATTCATTTACGTACTTCACAGCCGACATATGAAACATATGCAAAAACCTAAAAATGAATCAAGGGGAAACATCAACATCCCAACAGTTTGATCCTTGATGTTGGCTTGGGTACCAATGAGGCTTCTCTTCTCTTCAAATAATGTTGTGCAGTGCAACTAAAACATAAAACACCCGCAAGAAAGAAATATTTCATTTAGATATACTTGAGTTTTACATGAGTATGCGGTGCAATAGAATGATTATCTCCCATTGTGCAGATCATCTCTTTCAGGATGCCTACTCAGGCCAGCACAGACTCATACATAACATCTCCGTCAAAGTTTCCACACTGTTATAGCATGAACTCCCAGACCGTGAGAGAGGCTCAGTACCCATATCCAAAATGAAGAGTGCGGAGGAGCAGGTGCCTACCCCTCCACCTTCCACTTCTCTTAAAATTTTCCTGTGCAATGCAACTAAACTAAAAAACAACTCCAAGCAATATATTCAATTTAGATCTTGTTACGTCTCCAACGTATTTATATTTTTTTATTGTTCCATGCTATTATAATTGTTGGGTCATGAGCCAAAAGCAAGCCATCGAACATGCCAGTGTTGGATTGGATGAGATTGTCGACCGCCTGAAGGAGGTTCTCATCGTGATCCTTGAAGAGCCGGTCCAGACCTACGGTGAAATACGCTCGTTGAAGCGCGTACACGCCGCACCTTTCCTCGGACGGCTTGTCCATCGCCTCCGCTCACGGCCGATCACGCCACCGCGTCCCGTGATGGTGTCGCGGCAACTCCAGGACCACTTAATCTTATACCAATTGTGAGCAACTCACCTGATCAAGAGGAATTGCTAGGGATTAGAATTCGAAATTGCGGAAATTGGTTCGTTAGCTAGCCGTCCGTCCACCCTCACAGCTACACTACACCGCCTGTTGCCATCATCCAATTCCCAGCCAGGAGATAGGAGAGAGTTATAATTCCTACTAGCTTAGCCCGCGCGGCGACACGCCGCGCCCATCGATCAGTCACGACTATGTAGACTATGGTCCAAGCAATAGAGTAATAAGTAGTTATGATGAAATTTGTTGCATGACTTGAGGCTTTTTAGCAAATTGTTTTGTTCACAACAATTTATAGACACAAATATCTATCTTTCATGGAAACTTTTAGTTTATTTTGTACATAGCAAGGGTCTGTTCACCAAGTTGAAACAAATAGACAACATGACCAAAAGTAAGGAACTTCGAAACAGTGCTTTCGTAGCTAAAATTTAATAATTTTTCACATTTCATAACATAAATACTTAACTAAAACTTACATCTGATCCGAAGTACAACCATTGAGACAGTAAAAAAACAACTATTTTGATCATCACAAAAAAATTAATGTGCATTTCATGGAAAAAGTTTAGAGACAAAATAATTTAGCCAAGAGAAAAACTATTTCAGATCACAAAAGGCGCTCCAAAGAGTAATTGTGTATATTATTCAAAAGAACACTTTGTTACCTTCAGAGGCTTTAATTAGCCCCATTGCATCTTGTGGAATCATGCAGTGATACAAATTCTTACCATAAACAACAAAATTAAGCAGCTCTTAATATAGAAACAACCATATCACTCTGAATCAAGGGAGCATGATGCGATGAACTGATGATGGGGAATCTATGGTGGCATATACCCAGGAAACAGTGTTCATGGAAACTTTGTTAAACAACCCCTTGCTCAGCTTAAAAGTATTCCTTCCTGGGTCTCCACTGAAACAAAGCTATATTTATACACCCACATGTGAGAACAATATGAGCCATTGTTTGATATAAAACCAACAATGCTTGAACATACTTGTTTCTCTACCTCACCATGTGGCGGCCAGAAAAAGCTTTAACAAATTAAAAACCACTTGCAAATTGAAGTTGAGAGCCTTCACTTATTTCTCGAAATGGAAGGAGGAAGGGGCCTTAATTTGTCCCAGTAACCCCATGAATATAATTAGCCAAATATGCGGCATTTCATCTTATTACACGGTCATGCTGAAGGAGGGAACATCAATAAAATTAGGCATAAGAAATCCATCAAATGAAGAGAGATGTACTTAGAAATAAGAATAACAAACATTCTCAGATACTATGTACCTTATCCTGCCTCTAAGAATATGTCAAGAAGGTGAATCATTCACTTTTATGTTACCGTTGCTGACAACGGACAACTGTGGATGGAAACAAAATTCTCGGCAATGCATATATGAAACTAAGTAACATGACTTAGAAAATATAATGTAAAATATCACAATAAACTACTACTAAGTATGTTCAATAGTAATACAACCTCAGTTTGTACCCCGGAAATTTCTATCACCAAAACATCTTAGAAAGTTCAGTGCCAGTGATGTGCCTGCCATAAAACCGAATGCCAATTTTCAGTTAAAAAATAACCGCGCAAGACCATATTCTTCTGCCACCAAGGGTATATGATCGAGTGGGGCCAACTAAAGACATGCCCCACGATTCCATTTTTTAATGTATGTTGTTGTATAATGAATGACGGGCTTGTATGCTTACATGACTATTTCGTTTTTGATGTGATGAAAATTGGAGGGAAAGATGCTGGACGGACTAATTTGATCAATCAGGTGAGTAGAAGTATTAGAGTTTTGGCCATCTCATCCATTAAATTTGGATGGAGGGTATGCATCTTAATATGATAAACATATATGCATACCGTATATGGGTTATATACATATAAAAATCAGTGCAGCAGGCCTTTTTTCTGAATCTAAACATCTTGGTGGCCGAGTTCCAGTGTGAAAATATTGGTTTTAGTCCCTGGTCAAATGGACTGATGCATATTATGTTTGGTTGTACCACGAAAAATAATTTGGTTGCTTTAAGATATTCAACCGAGGTAGACGATGCAATTTTGGCTGACATGAAGTTTTACGATCATCAATACAGCAGAATATGCAAAAGATGGGATAAAGCAAGTCATATCTACTCCCTCAGTCCCATAATATAACAGCGTTTTTGACATGACGGAGGGAGTAGTTTGTTTATTTGTTTGAGGAACACTTATTTGCGGAGAATAATGAAGTGTGCTTGCACCGGTAGACATGAGATGAACTTGAACAAACGATCTGCATTCATATATGCATTGTACCAGAAATCAGTGCTGCTCTGACTTGCCTCTGCATTGCCTCTGAACCAGTGTTGATCTATATCGGAGATCAGGAATTTACTCATCAGGTCACTGCATCTACTTTATTGCGATTAAACCACCAAAAAGAAATACCAGCAATTTATTTAATAGTCTTATTTGACTTTTTATTCAGAACGCATTGAGCTATTTCTTTTTCCGAGCTACATTCTTGTACATTGGATTCTCAAGGAGCATCACTTGCGAGACATGTCTTCACATACTACCATTTCAGAACACCACTCCCTTCACGCACAGGACATACATGTTCTACATCCACCCCTCACACTCCTAATTTCAAACCGAGTTGGCAGGCTATTGTAAGGAAGGTAAGCAACCTTCTAGATGGAATATTGGAATTTACTCTGGCAAGGTAGGTCTTAAACATATTATCATCTGGCTATCTACTGTTTGAGCTCCCCATGCTGCTAACACCATCAAATATTGTTTGCTCCGTACATCTTCATATGCCAATTTGACCTTTTTTTGGCAGACACAGTATCTCAGAACATCTAAATTGACTCCTTGCATAGGTCTCTGAATTGACACAATCAGAAGGATAAAACAATCGCTAGAGCTCTTATAGGAAGTCACCCATCATTTGACTTAGACTAAAGAAGGTGTCTATCAGAAAAAAAGGAACAAAAAGTAAGTGCGAAGAAACACATGTAGGGTTGCACATAATTTGTAAGAGATGATCAAGGCATATAGTTGCAGCAAGTAGCAAATGGCATGAATTTATTCATGATGCACTCACGCATCAAGGGTGTAAATCTTCTTTAGCTAGGTCCAAATGCAGATAGATACAGTACAGGAATGATGTGTGATATGTCATTGTAGGTTTCAGACCTGATGAAAAGTTTATTACAGTACATGAAAAATATTCATGAAACGGTTATACAGTACATGAATGATGAGAAATCGGAAATTTCTGTACAGGAGTGATGTATAATAAATTGCTGAGAGGAATAAAGAAGATGCAGAATGTCTGAAACTTCTCAAAACCAGAGACAATTATACAAAAGCTACCTGACCGAGTATACGGCTAGGAATCTGCCTAATTCAGTGTCTCTTATAACCCGCCAACGACTACGGCGTAATCACCATCACTGCGGCTCAACCAGAATTCGATCGAATAATGAGGCAAATGAAGTAGCTAATATGGGGTAAATGCACACTAACTTGGCAGCAAGAACAGATGGGTCGTAAGCGCCTTCAGTGACCCTACGACCTGCAAATGGCAGTATACAGACAGTACGCCTTTACTCCGAATAACCGAGGAGGAGCTGTCCTTATGCTCTTTTTTTTGCGGGGGAGCTGTCTTTATCCTCCACTCAAGCTAGCTATACTTACAAAGTTAGAGCTATATAAAGTTTTGAAGCGTAGCGCTGTGAATGGATCACTCGTCCAGCAGCCTCCTGACACATAAAATAGGCAGAGCGAGCATTACAAGGTCCCATAACTCGGGGTCAGGCTTCTCGAACACGATGACGCGCACCACCGTG